GCATAGCTTCACAGAATTTGATGCTTAGTTATCTTGGTTTCTTTCTCATTGTCCAGATATGGTCAGCTCACAGCTGCGGTTGCATCGTTACCAGACTGGTCGTGACTCTCGGGTCATTACTGCTTTGACCCTTCTCAAAAAACATCTTTTCAGGTAAGTTTGTTCTTTCTCCTCGAGAAACTCGTCTTAAAGAAACATAGATTATTTAACTGACTAAGTTACATTTCAGCTATCAAGGTCATGTCTCTGCTGCTCTTGTGCTCGGTGGAGTTGATATCACTGGCCCTCATCTTCATACTGTACGTTATACATTCCTGACAGATGCGATCTACTGAGAAGAGATATTTTGTTTTTTTGTTGTTATTCATTATCACATTTGACTATTTGTTTTATACACAGATATACCCACATGGTTCAACCGACACTCTTCCATTTGCTACAATGGGTTCTGGTTCTCTTGCTGCTATGTCTGTGTTTGAGGCAAAGTATAAAGAAGGCCTAACTGTAAGTAAGCCATTCACCTTTCAATATCCAGAGACACTATATTCTTCTGTCTGATTAATTTCTTGTTACAAAATCCTCTAGAGAGATGAAGGAATTAAGCTGGTCGCTGAAGCCATATGCTCGGGTATATTTAATGACCTGGGTAGTGGTAGCAACGTGGATATCTGCGTGATCACTAAGGTTTGTCTTCACCCTGCTTTGACCAGTACCTTTGATTAATCTACATAATTTTCTTTGATCAGCATGTAAGACTCATAATTTATCATCTCATAGACATTACAGTGACCAAGTCAATTGCCATCAAACCCCATCTCTTAGCATTGCCATTAGATAAATTTAAAACCATCCTCTCCATTTGGTTTATTGCAATCCTAAAACCTCTACACATTAAGCTGACCAAGTTATTTACTGCCAAAACAAACTCTTTCGCATTACATCTGTATGTTTTTGTTGCTTTTGAGCTTATGATTTGACACGGTGTTGGCAAACAGGGGAACAAGGAATATCTGAGGAACTACATGGAACCAAACCCAAGAACCTATGTCAGCAGCAAAGGCTATTCATTCACCAAGAAAACCGGTAAGTTACTCTCGAAATCCCAACAAAGAAACTAGCATCGCCAGCCTTGGCTTTAGCTGGTTGAATCCTCGGTTTTTCTCACTTCATTTTGTTGGTTTCTTGTGTAACAGAGGTTCTTCTCACCAAAATCACCCCATTGCTGGAGCGAGTCGAAATTACAGAAGTGGGTGAAGCTATGGAAGAATGAATCAATATATCAATCTCATATCTCTGCTTTTGTCATTGATCTACATCAAGGCTCTGTGTACTCTCATGATCTCATCTTCCCAGTCTTGTCTTTTTCCCATGTTTAAGGATCATTCGAATCTCCATCTTAGATTTCAATAGAGAGGATCAGACTCGGAGACTTCGTCCTTTCGATTCCTATAAAAACAACTTTCCCTTATTTATTATTGGTTTGTGCAAACCGAACTAAATTGTACCGGCTGGTTTACCAAGAGCATGGCTTATCATACGACGTCGCAAACTGATTTATCAAGAGCATGGCTTATCATACGACGTCGCTTTTTGTCACTTGATGACGTGTTTATTACGCATTCTTATATATAGGAAATATTATAAAGATACGGGCAGTGTCTTGAATTTATCCATACAAGACGTTACTAAAGAGCGACTCTATCTTTTTTTTTCTTCAGATTTGTTTTCTCTTCTTCGATTTTTCTGAGCAAGCCTTTAAGACTAACATAACATAAGATTGAAGAAGACGATGGAGAAATTATCTAATGGCGTTAGAGATCACTGTTTGATCAGTGACTATATTTCTCCTTCAGCTCCTGCTCCTCTTAAACAGCCTTTCGTGATCGGTACGCCTTTTTGATTTCTTCTCTGAGATTTTCAAAATTTGATTGATTTATTCGATCTGATAATTCAGGTGTTGCCGGAGGAACCGCCTCCGGGAAGACGACGGTATGCAATATGATCATGTCTCAGTTACACGATCAACGTGTTGTCCTTGTGAACCAAGTAATTATTAACTCATAATCTGTTTTCATCAAAATCGTCACGAAATTATCGAAAACAGTTGTGTGAGATTTTTGATTTGCAGGATTCGTTTTATCATTCGCTTAGTGAGGAGAAATTGAAGAAGGTTCATGAGTATAATTTCGATCATCCTGGTGAGAAAATCGATTTGATTGATCTGAGAATGTTTCAAATTTGTTCTTAAAATTTTGTTTTGTTTTGATTCAAGACGCATTCAACACCGAGGTGTTGCTTTCGTGTATGGAGAAACTACGATCTGGACAACCAGTGAACATTCCGAGTTATGATTTCAAAATCCACCAGAGCATTGAATCATCAAGTCCGGTAATTGCTTCAAGAGATTCTGAAAACTATTAGTTATTGATTAGCAACACTAGTTATGGCCTAATGTTGATATACTTCAGGTTAATCCTGGTGATGTAATCATCTTAGAGGGAATCCTAGTTCTTCATGATCCTCGAGTTCGTGATCTCATGAACATGAAGATCTTTGTTGATACAGGTTAGTTGTATCCTTAGCTTTAGATGATACATTCAAGGCCACAATGTTTTATATCCACATTGATTATTAATGTCATAAGCTCACAAGATTACATTGCAATTGACCAATGTAGATGCTGATGTACGGCTTTCGAGAAGAATACAGCGTGATACCGTCCAGAGAGGAAGAAACATCCAAAATGTGCTTGAGCAGGTTTAGTCACAGTCTTGAATCTGACTGTGTTTATGGATGGAGTTATATAATGTTTTTCACGTATGTGCTTTTTCCTAATTTGTTTTTCAGTATACTAAGTTTGTGAAGCCGAGCTTTGATGAATTCATTCAGCCATCGATGAAGTATGCTGATATAATCATTCCTCGAGGAGGAGACAATGATGTTGCAATTGACCTCATTGTTCAACATATCCGTACAAAGCTGTGCCAACACAATCTCTGTAAGATATACTCAAACATCTTCATCATATCTTCTACATTCCAGATCAAAGGAATGCACACTCTTATCCGCGACATCAACACAACAAAGCATGATTTCGTCTTTTACGCTGACCGATTGATTCGACTGGTAAAAGGCACTATACAAAATATTAAATTCTCACTATAGGTTTCTTAGAAGGATCAAAACTAAGACTGGAAGTGTACATGTTTGCTTCAGGTCGTGGAACATGGACTTGGTCATCTTCCTTTCACAGAGAAACAGATCACCACTCCAACAGGTAATTAAACCGCTAAAAAGTTTGAGCAAAGCTAAGATTAAACGTTACTTAAGTTTCCATCTCTTTAAACTTAACAGGGTCAGTGTATACTGGAGTCGACTTCTGCAAGAGATTGTGTGGCGTCTCAGTGATCAGAAGGTACCTAATACAAAGCTTTGTTGTCTCAGGATTGTGTCTCTACTTCATAGCTTTATGTTTTCTATATTTATAGTGGAGAAAGCATGGAGAATGCACTAAGAGCTTGCTGCAATGGAATTAAGATTGGTAAAATTCTCATTCACAGAGAGAATAACGACGGTCGTCAGGTCTGATTACATTGTCTGCGAACATGTTTCCTTATAAATCCCAGCTCCAACAGTTGCTCACTCAAATGATGTTTCTTGCAGTTAATATATGAGAAGTTGCCGAAAGATATCTCAAGCAGACATGTCTTCCTCCTTGACCCTGTTCTAGCTTCAGGTTCGTAATAACCCATATAAGAAGATAGACAAATGTTACATATTTCGGGACACTTGTTGCGGAAACATCTAACCTTTTACAACTGTTAACAGGATACTCGGCAGTGAAAGCTATAACTTTGCTTCTTAGCAAGGGTGTTCCAGAATCACATATCATCTTTCTCAATCTTATAGCAGTAAAGACCAACCAAACAAACCTCTTGTCAATGTTTTTCTAAGTTAATTAATTTGTCATCAGTATTATTACTAACACAAGAAAAAATCCGCAGGCTCCTCAAGGTATTCACGCACTCTGCAAGAAATTCCCAATGCTAAAGATTGTGACTTCGGAAATCGATGCATCCCTCAATGAGGACTCGCGAGTCATTCCAGGGATGGGAGAATTTGCAGACCGTTACTTTGGTACAAACAACATTAATTCAAAAGTATCAACCTTGTCTGCAAATCTCAAGTTAAGCTAAAAGAATATGCTCTTCTATAGTCATTAAGCTACTCGCCATGCCTTCATCAACATACAAAACTTGAATAACCTTCTAATTCCTCCTAAGATTCTCCCATCTTCATTCTTCTGTTTTGCTAATATTTATCCTATCGACTACACATAACATTACATTGAAACACAGAATTTTTTTTCCGTAGACTAATCTTCAATCTTATAGTTGAATATGTTTATAGCTGCAATACTACTATAGAATCCCTTAACCTCGGATTATTGATGTACATTCATTGGGATGATTATCCTCCTTAGGTGAATGGTGAACCACTAAATGGATACATGAGAAGTAGTCACTTGTGCCTAGGGATTAGTTTAAAGAAATATCGGGAACCACAAGTCGAGATCCAAGTAAGGAAAGAATGTATATCGGACATCTGGTCGACAATGCAGATTTAATGACTCATATGATATAAGGGGATAATCTTGTCTATCGGTTTTCGATCGTGGATGTGAGTCTTACGGAAAAAAAGAGACTAACTGCGTATGCATGAATCGTTGAGGAATGTTCGATAAACTTATAGATGCGACGTCCGTTTATGGTAAGTTCAGTACAAGTCGAATACAATATTTGTTTATAGAAGGTTGGAAATCACAAATGCAGAATTAACCGCAGATACAAGCTTTTGTGATATAGGATGAAAACTACAAAAGCTTGTAAAATGTAAATTTTTAAAATTGTCTCTCAATATGATTGATATACATACCCACACATATATACACATTTAAATGTTACATTGTAACTAGAGTAGTTTTACCCCAATTTAAATAATAAAAACATACCTTTTTATTCTTCAGAGTCATCATCACAAACAAAGGCAACACCACTTAATTTATACTCTGGCCCAAAGAAATCGTCTCTTATTTCATTGCATCTATCTGAAATCACTGGCGATGGCCTTCTGGTAAAGCTACAACTTTGTGGAATGGCACTGTTCTTTGAGGTAATGCTCCGTCTTCTTCATCATCATCAAATTCTAGCAAGTACCTGATAAAATCAGATAAAATCATAAGCACTTGAGATTCCTAAATCTTAACCAAAAATGCTTCAAACAAAGAGGTAGAGGAACTTACTCGTCAGATTTCCTCTGGAACCGGATTTGGAACATGCGGGTTTGAGTGTCTAGAGGTTAGTTTGTTTCTATCTTTTACATTGTTGAAACGAGCTTGAAATGGTGCAGAAGAAAGCTAACCTTTCGTGGGGTACTTATTACAGTTGCCTTGTAGAGGGCTGTGGTTCCTGGATATACAGCTAACACGTGTTTCCCTGGTAGAAACTCTTGTGTGCTTGAAGGATCATTCCGTTTTGGAAACGGTAAAATACATGACATTGATAGTTTATACGTCCTAAAGATTATATGAGAATAATCAGCAAGTTACTCAATGTCACTGCGAAAGTTTCTGAGTTATAAAGAGCTCTTAGTTACCTCTGGCCACCTCCTTCTTCATCATCTCCTGGTTCTTCATCAAGTACTTCAACTCTGTAAAAGAAAGTTTGAAACAATATTTAGACCCATATATGAATCTATAGAGAATTTTTTTTACCATAATTGCGTCATAACGGCTATCTACAAGTTTAATCCAAATATATGAATACTTGACCATCAGATTCATGAAAAGTTCTCAAAATGTGTCTCTAAGCACATATATACACATACAATTGATGATAATACAGATTGTTCCTTCTCCTTAACAATGTGGGAATCTTACTAAAAGTGTTTGAGCTTACTCTTTTGTTTCTCTGTCGAAGTGAATAACTTTTACCACAAACCATTCATCTTCTCGGCATCCTCGGCTGTGACTCTTGCAGCAACCTGCATAAAATAGATGTCAAAAAAATTTCGCCTTTTTTGGAGGAAACAAGTGATTTAACTCAAAGAAAGATGTAGCTGTTGTTGTACCTGTTCACCCTTAGACTGGCATATGCCTCGATTTGATTTCTCATGGAAGGAGAAACTCTTGTTACATCTGAATCTACTTTCATTCTCTTTCTCTTCTGTTCGTTGCCTTCTGCCACTTATGTGATATCATTACAAGCATCGGAAAATCTTAATCCCTCTTATATATATATCAAATCATTGGAGGTTTGAGACACAAAAGAGTATCAAGTCTTATCTATTTCACAAGAACAATGTTGCCCGAAGTGTAAACATTACAAGACTAGCCCAAAATATTCAAAGAAGAGTCTAAATGGTAATTCGAAGTATACCTAATTTTCTACGTTGTTGCCGGTTGGTCCAGATGGAAGCAGGGCATCCAACTGAGTAAGCAGAATGTTTGAAACGCTGCGTGAAACACAAAGCTTTAGAGATAATGGTTCTCAAACAAAATAAGTTCAGAGAATCTATTTTTGGCACACAGACAATTCTGCCATTTTAGTTGTATCATCACTCCAAACCATTCGAAACTTGTGTATTCGACGATGAAACAACTGAAAGCAAATGATGAAGAAATTTGGCTTACGTTACTTCACTTTCTGAAAGCTCTTTTGCTTGAATGTACAAATTTTTAAGCTTTGACAATGAAGTATCACCAGGCTTCTCAACTATCTCAGGTGCTGCATTTAAACACAACCACAAGTTAGCCAGATAATTTACCGAGCAGATGAGCATTAGAGCCTGCATAAAACATCATTCAAACGCTGATGGTCACGCGAATTCATAAACAAACAGAAAGAGATTGTTTGTGACTCCTTTAATTTACTACATTTGGTATCAGTCATATAGTTGCATTAACACAAAGCTATCCTAGCTGAAATAAGCTTCATGCAGTATGATTCTACTCCTCAAGAAGAGCTAATTTCGCATGAAAATGCTTCATATTGTCATTAGTTTGATTCCATAATAGATAAACCGATAAATCGAATCCGCTACGAAGATACTTTCTAATTACGAAATAAGCGCATAATCGAGAAAATTTAAATGTCCTCGAACAAGTTAGAGATCCACAAGAACAAATGTCAAAAGGAAAACTATTAAATTGGCTAAAAATCCTCTATTTCTTCCCCATTGAAGCATAATACCAATCTCTACATTACAACAAAACTTCCATGATAACTAAAGTCTCTTATTTGGCAGATATTGTATTCAAAATTCAAACTTTTCAGCATCTAATTTAAATCAATGTAATCTACTACATAGTCTAATTACTTCAAGATCCAAACCCAAATTATATAAAAAAACTATAACTAATCAAACACAATCAATACCAATTAGTAAATCAACACTAAGAGAAGAAGATCAAAAGCTTCTTATTTGGTTCATCACAAATTTGGATAGTAAAAACCAAAACTTTTAGCTGAAAATGGAAACACTTACTAGCTTGAAGCTTCTTATGCATCTTATTAATCTCCACAAGAACTTCCTCTTGTTCTTTCCTTAACCGATCAAGCTCCTTCGTATTATCTAAAATTCCGGCAATGTCCGGCGACGACGACATCGTCCTTCAAGCTGCTACAAAAATCCACGACAACGATCCCGAAAAAGAAACCCACCAAAAAAAAAGACAAATTCAAATACCAATCACTTAAAGTTTCAATTTTTTTGCTGGAAACTTCAAACAAAAAAATACAGTTTTTATGTTCAATGTTCAAACATAGAAGGAGAAAATCTCAGAAAACAAAGATCTCAGTTTTTTCGATTTAATATATTCAAATATTGCAAATTGTTTTGTTTTGTTGATTTGTGATTGGGCAGATCAAGAATGAGTACGACGTCGTTTTATGTAAAGGGGAAGTTGTCCAAAGTATATTCTAGTTCTAAGTTCTAAATACATATATTTGTAGTTAATGAGAGTTTGTAATCTAAATCTGTATTAGACTGATACAACTAAAATCAAATTAAAATATTTTTATGGAAATTAAGTAAATTTTTTGAACCATACTAATCAAGTTTATTCTTTAAGAGAATTAAAAAAAACAAATTTTATCATAATTTGATTCAAACAATTAAAACCTTATTAGATTAATTTATACTAAATTTGATTTTTTACTTTATACTATTTTAAACTTAAGTTTTAATAAATAAAAAGCACTATAGAATAAGAAAGAACCTATACTAAATTTGATTTTACTTTATACTATATCTTAACTTAAAAAGTTTATAAGAAAAATAAAACACTATAGAATAAGAAAAAAACATAGGTAACTGAACACCTGTTTTTTTTTTTTGGTAATTCATAGGAGACAATTGTCTCCTACCTTTTATTCAAAAAAATTAATAAAAATTACAAACGAACATCTCGTGGGAACGCAGTCCCATTAACATCGTCCAACAAAACCGGCTTGACAACATCCGGGCAAACATCAAAAGAATGAAAACCAAGCGGTAAAGAAAAAGCATAGTTCGCTAATCCGTCAGCTAGACGATTAGCTTCCCTATACACGTGAGAAATACGGACTGAACACCTGTTGATGTATAGTTTTATTTTTTAATTCTAAGGTAAAGTATATTCATAATCATAATCATAGAAAGTGATTATCATAATTTTATCTGTTTAGAAAAATAGACAGTGTTTATCATAATTTTATCTGTTTAGCTGCCACGTGGTTAGCTTAACATTTTTTTATTATTTGCTGCTTATAACTTCCTATTTCCTTCTGCCATGTGTTACTGTATATATTAGTCACGGGCGTTCGGTTACCGATCGGTTATCGGTTATCGGTTATCCGATTGGTTATCGGTTCGGTTCTATTCAGTTTCGGTTCTTTCAGTTTTAAAATTTAGTATCCATTCGGATATTTTGAAATTTCGGTTCGGTTTCGGTTCGGTTCCGGTTCTTTCGGTTTTAAAATTTAGTATCCATGCGGTTATTTTGCTTTGGATATTTTCGAATATTTCGGTTATTTTTGGGTATTTTCGGATATTTTTTGTTTATTTTCGAATATTTTTACTATTTTTTTTATATTTTTTAAGTATTTTTGATTATTTGGTCTATAAACAACTAATATTTTTGAAGAGATAATTATATTTCGGGTATTTTCGGTTACCCGAAATATTTCGGTTCGGTACCGATTCGGTTGCGGTTTTTTCCGGTTATAAAATTTAGTATCCATTCGGTTATTTTCAAATTTTCGGTTCGGTTCGGTTCGGTTTATTTACCCAGTGTATATGAATGAAAGGCCCAATTTAGATAAAGTGGGCCTTTAATGGGCCTTTGGTTGATTAGGAAGTAAATTACCTCACAACTCCGAAGTTCACAAGTAAATTTCGAGTTTCTTTGAGCTGCCGATTTTGCCGTTTTCTTGCAGTAATTTCGATAAAGCGTGGACCATTTCTGGATTCCAAAGCTGAAGAAGATCCAAAACGCTTTGAAGCTAGAATTCGTTTACTAATGGTGATCGATCGCTTTCTGAGTTTTGTGTTTATCGAATTCTGAATTTGGTGTTGTCGCCAATTAGTCAGACAGGACCGAAACTGGTTTTTGCTTTCTATTTTGGTATATGATCGCATGTTCTTCCATTGTTGTCCGTGATTATGTTGCAGTGTTTATTGTGGCAGTGAATTGTTATTGCCTTAAACAGAATTTTATTGCGTTTAGATTTAGGTGTTTAGTTTTAGAATGGATTTGTTGTTTTTGGTGTAAATTAATTAATTTAGAATTGTTGTCAAGAAACAAGAAACAATTGATATTGGAATGGTGCAATTGAATTTTGTGAATTAGTTAAGGATTTTGAATGTTACACTTTGTGATTGTTTTTTTACTCTTGATGTTTCTCTGTTTATTTGTGTTTGTAGTTAGAAGCATTGAAGAATGCAAATGTGATTTAAGTGAAGGAATGAAAGTGTGCAGTAATTCGTATCACGACTTTACGCGTGCATAGACAGTAGATAGAGATATCAGATACACAACCTGTAGGTATATATACTCTGGTAGGTTGCTTTTACTCTTTTGTTAATGAATATTTAGCCACTACACTAGTTATATCAAGTATCTATGTGAATTTGTATACCATCTTTATCTGTATTAACTTTTCAAATCGTATACGTTTCTCTTTTTGAAATACAGTGGAAATATGAGAAGACCTAGTCAAATGATGAGGCTTCTATTAACAACCTTCTTCGGGGTTATAGTTGGTTTCCTTATGGGTATTACTTTTCCAACCTTGACCTTAACTAAGGTAAGTTTAGTTCTTTGCGTCGTGCAGCATGTCTATACCTTTTCGTTCATTTCAAACTTGATTATGTCATTGCTTACACGGTAATGGTTTCTATCTTCTTTGTTTTGAAATGGTTAGATGAATCTTCCATCTACATTGTTTCCATCGATTGATCTTGCATACATTGAGGATAAATACTCGGACATATCCAGACAAAGACTATTTGGTTCTTGGTCTGCGACAAAAGGCCTCAAACTCAAGAATGACATCCCTGACCCTCCCTATAACTATAATGACACTAAGGTTGTGATTCCTTGCTTCACTGCTTATTTAACTTTCTATGTTTTAATCAAAAATCAATGGTAGAACTTTCGAGCTATTGCAGATATGGGTTCCTACTAACCCCCGTGGTGCTGAGAGGCTACCCCCAGATATAGTCACGCCTGAATCAGATTTTTACCTCCGTCGACTGTGGGGTGACCCTAATGAGGTTCATAAATTTGAATCTACTGGCTATTATTAAAGAATGGCTTCAAGATCATGTCACATTTTGTTGGTATGTCATGCAGGATTTAACAATCAAGCAGCGGTATCTAGTAACATTTACGGTTGGCTATGATCAGAGGAAAAATATAGACACTGTGTTGAAGAAGGTATCCTGCCTCCCACACTTCTTTTCTTCTCTCGTCTTGTACTTAATTATTGCTTGACTCTACATGTCTCAGTTCTCAGATAACTTCTCTATAATGCTGTTTCACTACGATGGCCGGGCCAGCGAATGGGAAGAGTTTGAATGGTCCAAGCGAGCCATTCATGTGAGCATCCGGAAACAAACAAAATGGTTAGTGTCTACTTTACTAAGCAGGAACGCCAATCTTCCTCCTAGTAGGAGTTTCTATATAGTGACTGATTTAAAATCTATGAATTTTGCCTGAAGGTGGTACGCCAAGAGATTTCTTCATCCTGACATAGTTGCCCCCTATGAATATATCTTCATATGGGACGAGGATCTTGGTGTGGAACACTTTGATTCGGAAAAGTATGTTTTTGAAGCTTGGACTTCCTTTTAATAGCCATTCCAGGTTATGAAGATTAAATTTCTTTGACAGATATCTGGCCGTGGTGAAGAAACATGGTTTGGAAATCTCACAGCCTGGGTTAGAGCCATATGAAGGGCTCACATGGGAGATGACAAAGAAAAGAGACGACACTGAAGTCCACAAGTTAGAATAATATAATGAAGATTCTAAATTATTTTCTTAAATCATTTTCCGTGTTCTACACTTACTCATATCTCCCCTCGTTTATTCTTGCAGGCATGCTGAGGAGAGGAATGGGTGGTGCACCGATCCCAACTTACCCCCTTGTGCAGCGTATGCTACTTTACTTAACTATATCACAATATAAATGAACTTAGCAAAAGGGATTTGCATAGAAAGTGAATAGTCTCATCATTCTTGCTATTAAAACCAAAATCAGATTTGTGGAGATTATGGCTCCTGTTTTCTCCCGCAAGGCATGGCGCTGTGTGTGGCAGATGATTCAGGTATGTAATAGAACCAAATTCGTATTTTTCTCTCTTTAAGTGACTGAAAAATCACCCTCTTCAGCAAATTCCAATTGTTACCTTGTAACCGCAGAACGATTTGGTTCATGGATGGGGTCTGGACTTTGCCGTTCGGAAATGTGTTCAGGTCTGCAACTTAACTTCCTTTGTACAGACCCATATGCACATCTAGACCCCTCTCTCATGGATTCTATACACTCGTTTTATATCGTCATTAATCTTATTTGGGTTAACAGAACGCACACGAGAAAATTGGAGTTGTAGATGCTCAATGGATTATTCATCAAGGTGTTCCATCACTTGGGAATCAAGTATGCTTTCAAATCCATATTTATCTTTATTTTGTGTGTAACAAAACTTAAATTTAGCATTTTGTGGACTGCCTTTGGAAATTATATTACAGAATTCTATTGAATATATCTCATAGGAAAACTAGTCCCGTTCAAGACTCTAGAGAGTAGTTGTGTAAATCATCTAGTCTACTTCTCAAGCTCAAAGCCAACACAGATGTAATAAGAAAATTCGAAATTAGTTTCTGATGCGTTATGACACATTTCCATTTATACAGTAGAAACATCTAGTTATTGACGTACCCATGCCTATAAATTTTGTATTTTGCCGTTTCCAGTCCCCGTATTCATTTTGGTGCTACTTAGTTTACTACATTAGCGTGTGATGTAAATGCATATCACAGGATTGTTAATCTTTGTGCATCGGAAATCTTGACAGGGACAACCAGAGCGAGGGAAACAACCATGGGAAGGGGTAAATACGAATCCCCTAGTCTTTTTCATCCTTCTTATTATCGGTTATAGAGTAGGATCCGCTTGTATTTGCTACTCTAAACGTTTATCTTTATTCGGGTTTCCAGGTGAGGGAAAGATGCAGGAGAGAGTGGACAATGTTTCAAGACAGATTGGATGATGCTGAAAAAGCTTATTTTGAAGCATCTGCTCACAACAATGCTTCTTCACGGCCTCACGGGTAATAAGGAAAATAATAGTGTTTCACTTCGACTTCCACTCTCTATGTTTACCTTGTTAATTTTGTTCTCGGAGCTGTGCTTTGATTTCGTGTTTATGGAAGAGAATAGTCCGGTTGAGAGAAGATAATTGTAACCACATTCATTAACATCTGATTAGTCTTTTTAACTGTTAACTCTTATTGATGATGACATGAGAATTCCGGGAGAGAGTAGAGTTAGAGGTCAACATTTTTCACTTCACTTTTATCAGATTTTTACAGTTGAGCAATGGAAAAATCTATTAAATCATATTCTCAATTTCACGTTTGCTAGAAGTTTCAGTGTTTGAGAGTAAAATAATAATATGGTACAAAGTTACGGTGAGCTGTTAAAAAAGGAATGGTAATGTTTGAAAAGTTAACTTAATTCGTCTTTAAGTCGTACTACTTCACTTATGTGAATGTATGAGTGTTAGTTTACTTTGCGTATATTAAAATATGGGTTTCCAACTAAAAACTATTGACAATGAGGGTCATACCCTCTATATCTTATATACTATCCTGCATGATCTTTGTCCAACTTAGGATGAGGGATATTGTTATCCTTAATATATTTTCCCTCGAGATGATGGTTCTTTAACGATTGATCTTGGTATTTCAGGCAATGATCGAAGTACTAAATTTATGTCCGGCCCATTGTGGATTTGACTCTGATATCATATTAAAATATGAGTTTCTAACTCAAAATTAATTGACAGTGAGTGGATGATATGCCTCTATAGCGTATACCATGAACAACTAGTATACAATAATTATTATTTACATGATAAAAGAAAAACATAAAAACATTGTTTACGGTCTACGTTGGTTTGATATATTTCATGTAAAGACATTTATGAAGTTCCTCATTCTATATAATATAAGTAATATGCAACAACAAGAACAAAAATTCTCGCAGATTGGGTTATTAGTTTACATGATAAAACAAAAATATAAAATTGTTGAATATTTAGAACATAAAATTGTTTGCAGTCTGATATATTCCATCTTAAAGAACCAAATTTTTTATTTTAATTGCATATTATAACATCTTAAATATTGAACATTTTGTGGTTTTTAATTAAGTTTAATAATTTTTTTTTTTTTTTTTTTGGCATTGTATTATTTATTTTGTGATTAAAATAAATCAAAAGTTATTAGGAAATTTCGTACCAACATGTAAGCATAACAAAAAAATCTCCAAATGTTTTTCTTTTAATATATGAACTTGTAGGGCTAACATCATGAGAAACACCATTTAGAAAATATGTATGATCATTGTTGAAGTCGTCAGGTAATGTAAAATGTAAGTAGACAAATAATTTTTAGAAAAGTTTGCAACAACATTCAATTCAAACTCATACAATAAAACAAAATAAAACATAAGGCAACAAATGAGTTTCAAACTCAAAAATTAACAAGCACCTCATCAAGTGTTGGGTTCTAACTTCTTAAGCCATGGAGGGCATATGGTATGATACCTGTTTCTACGGGAGAATATGCGAGAATTCGAACAATAAAAAGAACAGAAGAACAAGTACTTGTTGCCACAAACTTTAATATAGAAGGTACCTGGGCAACGGCAATCACATTTGTAGCAAATTGGTCGTGTAGAACTATTGTTAGATAGCAATTCCATATCTTCGCAGATTTTTCCTCCTGGTTTGGCATACCTGATATCTCCAACTACACACAAAATATGCACAGTGACTCCGCAATCTGAACAAGTGTAGAACCAAGTCTTTGGATTTGTTTCTCTTTCACAAATATCACACCAATATTTGCTGCTTGCCTTTTCACCATAACAAAGAGTGAGTGGATGATCATCGTATCTGGGAAGCGTAACCATATATGGTAGAGTGGCACAACGGAAATCCAGAAAATAATTGCACTTGACACAACCTAAGACGACTTTAGTCTGATCAATGCCGCAGCTCTGGCAAGTCTTAAATTGACCGTCTTCTAGTTTAAGGTAGAGTAAATGATGAGGATGACTTCCATGGATAAAAGGCACATCAATAGAACTGCATACTAAGTCAAACTCCTTATCATGAATATGCATGAATCCTTCACAGCGAACTAGAAAACAAGCGTCACACCATCTTGGGAAGCGAATCTCGCTTCCCATTTTATATAGACTAAGAGGTTGTGGGTTCAGAAAATGTCGTTTCTTCTTGCGTAAATTAGCACACGTTTCATGGAGAATGAAACTGCAATCTAATTCTGAACACTTGTAGAATGTGTAAGAACCGATGGGACGAACACATGCTCCACAAAAGCTTATTTCTTCACTGTCTTTGCTAAGGCTCATAAGGTTATGCTCATGAGAGAAATGAGTAATAGTGTTGTCATCATTCCTCTTGAATGGCTCGATATCTTCAACTTCTTCAGGTACTCCATCGAGCTCTTCTCCATCCCATACATCTTTCCTTGTTGCACACAGTGAATGAATAGCGTAATTAGGACACAGGGAACATGAATAAGCCCCATATGACCAATCAATCTCTTCCCAACAAACTCCACAACTCCATTCTCCAGGACCAAGAGGATACTTGAACGAAACGCGGTGGTCATGGTGATTGACATGAATGACACGTGGTAATTGAGCACACTTTTGATGGAAGATCATGAAATCACATTGAACACATATGTAAGGAGAACGGTCGCCTTCCGTCCCACACGCATCACAAACGAAGGAGACCAATCTTGGCATGAGTGTGAGTGTATGCTCATGGACCTTCAGATTTGAAAGAGCAACTGGTGGAGGGCTTTTAATCGCACAACGCAGATCCAAGTTGAACTTACAAATATCACAATGATAAAGTAAGTGCCGAGTATCTCCTCCACATATATGACATCTTGGATCGGTGTAAGCTGGAGCTCCATTAGTGAGAAGCTTAAGAGGGTGTCTGATATGAGAAGGGTGAGTAATCTCTGGTAAGTCAAATACAGAGACACATGACATATGAACCTTAAATCCGCAACCAAGGCACATACATCCAAGTCCGCTAGACCCGTTACAAACGTCGCAGATACCTTTATAACATATTTGTAGAGGATGGTGGTGCCATGACACACGCAGATGGTCTTGAGAAGTTTTAAATATGTGATGACTAATGCAACCAATGTCCACATTGAGTTTACAATCACAGCAATGATAAAGAAGGTGATTGGAGGTTTTACCACAAAGATGACATTTTGGGTCGGTGTGATCAGGAGCTTAAGACAATGTCCATCATGAGAGGGGTGGTCGAATATCTCTGGAATGATGAACAGAAATGCACATCTGTCGTGAATAGAAAAGTTGCATTCACCGCATGAGAAGCCAACACGAGACGATTGATTGCAAACATAACATATGAAATAATGAGCATCGTACACGAAGGATACAGCATGAGGGTGTCCACGCAACATAAAAACCTTGGAGGGTGCCATTGTGGTTAGCGGAGGTGGAGAAAATGCAAAATAATGTTTGTTTCGTGTTTATAATGGATCAATATAGTTGTTCTTCTATACCAATGCTACTTGTTTTATACTTATATACATATACATTCATTTTCATGTTGACAAATCTGTACTAGTACAATTAGTTGGCACGTCTTTTAGTCTCTATTTAATTTAAACACTAATTAATATCGAATTTGTTTAATTTTTCTTTGTTTTGTCTGCCATGTTAGTTTGTTTCGACTTCTTTGTTTTCTTATTTTTTTGATCTTCTTCTAGCCAACTTTGCTGTTCAATAACAACACCTTCAATAATCCATGACCTGACCACACTTCTTTCTCTGCATAAAATCCTGGCGAACGGCTATAATTGTACATCGCTGGAAATCTCCTACATACTTGCCTCTATTAATCTACATATTTATTAATTAATCGCAGTATCTGGGACTCGAGGCCCAAACTTTTTGGTGTAGAAGCATTAATTAACCATTGGTCAACTAATAGGCCAAAAAGCTTCCACCGAAAAGACTATAGATACAAATATTTTATTTAATGTGATTTAATGTTAGAACTATTTTGAGGGTAAATTTCCTTACTGCAATCACATGGCACATTTCCATTACAATCTCAAGATTAATTCACTGTTTCTTAAAACTGAAATTTATCTACTTTGACACAAATCTAGGAAAAAATAAGTAGATTAACACTCAAATATCTAAGATAACTAGATTAACCCAACATTTAAGTAAAATGACCAAAAACCCAATTTTTTTTTGCAATTTCTATTTTTTTTTGTCAACAACTTAATTACTAATGCTCAAAGTTATGCACTAAATAATTAAATAAACAGAAAATAAAACAAATAAGTCTGCGACGGATATATTAAGTCTGTCGTAATAAGCTTAACCCACATTTTTTTAAACAAATCTGTCCTTAAAAAGTAAACTACGAAATCTAATGTAAACTAATACTGAAGCTTCATTAAGAATCTATCAATCAAAGTCTGTAACCATTGACAAAAACTTATACTTTAAAAATCAGCACTACATGGCAAAAATAAATCTGTCATCGTAGGATTCAAAATACAAGTTTGTCAAGTTTGTTGTCACAATAGAGTTCACTAGAATAATTTCTTTCTTTCATTATCAAAACAGATATCAAACGCCAAAATTTTGGTAACCTTAAACAAATCTATTAGGATGTAAATTAAATCTGTTATAACATAAAAGATTCATGTTCCGCCTATAAGTCATTCTAGCAATTTTTTTTATTAAAAAACAGTGATTATATGCTAGATTTGTGTTAATATTAAACAAATTTGTCATCACCTAAAATAAATCTGGTATCACTATATATCGTTCTAATAACTATTTTTTCTTAGACAAATCTGTTACTATATGCCAGATTTATGTCAAAATAATAAGTATGACGCCACAATTTTTTCTTTCTTTTGCCACACAGTATAATAAATGAGCGGTGTCATCATAAAATAAGTCTATCGAGAATTATAAATCTGTCGTAACCATATTCAAATAAGTCCGTGGGACAAAAAAGTATGGCGAAGAAAATATGTCATAGATAAATAAGTGGAATAATTGGATTGTATGCCCTAAATTTTATTAGAAATTTGAAATGTATACTATAATTTTTTAAAAGTTGAGATGTATCTTATTCTTTTTCCAAAATGACATTTTTGTCCTTAATTAATAATTAAAAATTCAGAAAACGAAAATAAAAATAATTAGAGTAGTTAACTTTTACAAATATTATTTAAAATTCACAATTAAACTGTTCATATTAAAAATTATATAATCAAAATTTTTTATTGTTATTTTGTGA